GGTGTGGTCCCCGCCCGACAGGTAGTTCAGGAGGAGCGCCAGCTGCCAGGCATTGCATTTGGCTGCTCCTTTCGTTCGGGCGAGCCACGTGCTGGCGAAGATGTCGAGGCCCTGTCTGACAGAGGCCAGGTGGCCAAGGTCATGACGCCGTGGCTTGATCTTTCTCAGAAAGGCTCTGCGTTGTGAGGCTCGCAGCATGTGAAGGAAGGCGTTTTGGGGTAAGTTCAGCCAACTGATCTGACAGCCCCAGTCGTCGTACATGATGCCAAATGTGGGCCAGGTCCAACGGGGCTGCTGAAGCGTCTGGACAAGTCGTCCGACAGGTCCTCCCCCAAATAGGGTCTGAACGTGGTGTTGGAGATCCCTGACGAGACCGCAGAGAGTAGCGTCGCGGTTAACCTGTCGCCGCAGACACAGGAAAACTTCACGCTGCGTTATGGCGTCAATCTCCAGGGCGTGTCCTGGGACGCACACGGCCATGAGAGTCCAAAACTCGACCCACCTGTTTCCCTTGGGGCGGATAGCCGCCTTAAGGGCATGGTTGTAGGCAGTTTTGACGGGGCCTGATGGGGCTTGAATGTCGGTGCCCGTGGTACAGACGCTGGCAGCAAGGGAACGGGCGTGCCGCGCCCTAATAAGCATCGGTGATGGGAGCTTGCCAATGCGCGGCAGGCGACTAGTCGCCCTGCGAACACGGGCGTCAGCGGTGGCCGTGAGGTTAAGCGCGGCTGGAGCCGGCGCTGCCTCGGCGTTGATGTAACTCCCGACGAGCTTGAAGGAGTCGACCACGCGTAAGGGCCGTTCCGCCAGAGTGAGCTGGGTAACGGCGGTGTGAAGCTCGTCCGTGAGCGCCCACCCCGCCACTTTGCCAGGGTGAATGCGTTGACCAGAAAATCGATCAAACTTGGCGGTTTCTTCAAGAGATTTCTGCAACTCAGGCGCGGTGTGGGTAGTGGAGTTGCTGTCGTCAACAAAGGTAGTGCTGAGTGATCGCGGAACGTATCGATGCTGTCTCTTGGTCCACACACACACGAGCAGCTTAATGTCGTCCAGGGACCAAGAGCTTCCCTGGAGGTGACCGTTTGTCCTGGCCAGTTCCTTAGAGTACGCACCGTTCATGCGGATGTAGCGTTTGTGGCGACTGTAGAAGTTTCTGCGGACAGTAACGATGTCTTGGGGGCACCCCGCGTGAAGCGCAAGATTAAGGCAGATGTCCGTGATGAGGTAGTCGAAACACTTCTGTCGGTCCAGGGCAGCCCCAGCTAAGGGAAGGAGTAAGGCCCTGGCGTGTTCTATGCGCAGGGCTAGAGAGGTGCTGACGTCCCCAATGGTAGCTTTGGGGACAGCGCCAAAACTCGTGGCGTGGGTCCATCCTTTCCGCCAGTCCGTGAGGCTGCGGTAAGCTGGCGCTTCCCACGCATACATCCAAACGGAAAGCACCGAGAGGAGTCGTTGGTCCGTTGGGAGTTCGCCTCGGCCTTTTCGGAGGCACGGGTTTGGCACATGAAGGAGGGGTTCTGGGATGGTGCCAGTGCGTTGCATAGCGCGTAAGACGCGGGCGAAGAGGCGAAGGATGTCGTCGGGTAACTCCTTAGCCTCCTTAGTAGTCCAGCCGTCCAGTCCCCCCGCACGGCGCGGTGAACGGGTGCGAATAAGTGGATGAGTTGGTCGTCGGTGAGGTGGAAAGGGGTAGCTGGTGATGGCGTAGGCAGCTCTTGTCGGTACTCGTCGTAGAAGTCAGCCCACGTCGGCATGGCTTCGGCGTCATGTCCTGCACAGGCACGGTACCTGCCCAAGATGGGCTCCCAGGTGTCGACCATGAGCTTAAGCATGTCTTTGGTGTTAGCAACAATGGCGTTGGCAGGGAGAATGTCGGGGACTTGCGCAGGTGGTGGTTCACGAGTGTGGTCTTCGTCGTTGTCCGTGTCGGGCGAACTACCGTCGCTGGGGCTGAAGCCGCCAGCTTCGGTGTCAGCGTCGCTGTCGTCCGTGCTAGCTTCGTCAGGTTTAAAGGCGTTAGTGTCGCAGTGGAGTTGCGTATCGTCAGGTGTGGTAGGCGTGCGGAGATACGCCGTGGGCGAGCTGTCAGCAGCCCGTGCGTATATGGCCGCCTTTCGCCCGCTTGGCTCGCGGACGCCCTCAGCCCATATCTTGATGCGTTCAGCTTTGGCGCGGTTCGCACGTCGCACCAGCTCTAAGTCGAGGTGTTGGATCAAAACGTCAAGGTGCTCTCCGTGAGGTGCTGGCTCGTCGGGGGTCCAGGCCTCGGGGAAGCCGAGGAGAACCGTGGGGCGCAGCTTGTGGCATAGGAGGCGGGCCGCGGTCCACGTGCAGTCGATGCGCTGCGCAAGGTACGGCGGGATGGCACGGCAATCTAAATGATGGTGCTGTCCGATGAAACGAAGCTCACAGAGTTGCCGATGGAGCTTGCGCAGTCGGTTCATGTGTATCGTGGAAGCTCCGTAGGTGGGGCAGGCGCGGGGGACAACTGGTCGCTCTTCGAACATGGGCGTGAGCCCGTGCATGGTGGGGGGCTTCTTTTTTGGGTGGTCGGGCGGTGGAGGTGGCAGGTCGCGCAGACGGGTGAGATGGTACTCATGACTGGCCTCGTTGGC